CAGACAATTCGGACACGATGGACTTTCAAGGGATGAGAAACTCTGTTCCGCTAGACACCCGGACCAGCTCACCGAGGCCCGTCCCCTACGTTGTTCCGTTGCGTCCAGAGCCAGCTCGAGGCCCTCTCAGCAACCTCGCCCAGCCGTTTAAGTGTCCGTTTCCGTTCATTACCGCGCAATCCTAGTTCTTTAACCACATTGTAGAGTGAAGTGGAGACGAGACCTCTCGCTCCCACTTCGACGGCAAAGACACGTACTGTGTACGCCTCGTCTCTCCTCAGACCGGCTGCTAAATCACAGTATGTCTCGAGCTTATACATGTGATTTTCGTCCATACGCGACTCATACGGGACGGTCAGCTCAATCAGGATGAGCTGCCGTTTCTCCGCAGAGTGGAGAACTATGTCAGGTCGCAGGCCGGTCTTCCGGGTTGACTCAGGGTACCTTTCATGGCCCGGCAGATCTACCGCCAGTAACCAGTCCCTCGCAGAGTCCAACCTAGATGGAGCGAATGCGCCTTGGTTGATCTTACCTTTTTGAATCTGCCCAGCCTTGAGGAAGCGAATGGGGACGATGGTAGGACTGGCTCTAGCTTTAGCCCGCATCCTAGCCTGGTCCATAACAGCTGCCAACTCCTTTAGCACTTTGTTGTGGTACCAGGTGTATCGGCCTTGACCTAGGGCTTTCCTGCATGCGGACAGAACGTGTTCTAGCGTCTGCTTCGCTTTGCACAGCGGGCAAGTCGGATCGTTAGTCGCAGACCACTTAACCATGTTAACACCGGACGGTAATACATCGTACGCCGAACGAACGATAAAGCTCAATCGCAGCGGGGTCATTCGCCAGATCTCACCCCATGTGAGTATTCTTGGCAATGCGCTTTCTAGGCTGACCCAATGGCCCTGCTGCGACTGCTGGGCTGCTTTCTGGAAACGAACCTCGTTTTCGTTGTCCCTAACTTGTTGTATTACCATGTCTCGGCGTTCTTTGGCTGTGGCTTTGGACCACCAATTGACCTTCCCGTGACCTAGGCCTCGCCGGTCGGTTTGAGTGTATCCCAATATTTCCTTCAATTTTAGTGCATTCTGGGCAGATTCGATCGCATCGAGGACTGTCCATTTCTGACCAGAATATAGCCGAGCCTTAAATATGGCCTAAAGGCTGAACGGGGTTTCCGGAGCCTCTCCACGGATGATCCTCATCCACATGGTGGCACTTTGTGTTCAGGTGTTTATCACTTGTGTGATGTTCTGGAGGGATACAACTAACTTACCTACCAGTAATGTCACAGACGTTTTGTAAAATAATTCCCAGTAGAATTAAAGGAGTGGAGGACATACAGAGAGAGAACAGGTTATGAAAAGATAATTATATTAAAGACACCAACAACAGATAAAGCATATCAACACTAGTGACAAAAGTAATTAAAATAACAAATCAATTTACTTATTTAGTAATTTTTATAGCAAAGAAAAAAGAAAGAAACAAATTATGACACGCATTGACAAGGCAGCAGCTCTTAATAGCTTGGACAAAATATGCAACTCTGTACAGTTTTAAAAACTAAATTACACTTTTTCAGCTCTAATGTTATTTCAGTTTCAACATATGCCAGTGAAAGTTGAGGAACCACTAGAGACATGAAACGAAAGTTAAATGCATTCGGAAAAAAAGTCTGGCAAGTGAAATGCCTGGCAAACACTAGTATGAATGGTTGTAAGACAGAGAAGGGATCAATGGTTGTAAGACAGAGAAGGTATCAATGGTTGTAAGACAGAGAAGGTATTAATGGTTGTAAGACAGAGAAGGTATCAATGGTTGTAAGACAGAGAGGGTATCTGGACTGGATGTCATCTATGATATGGAACTAATTGCAAAAAATAGAACGGAAAGGAGGAGTATACATTTAATGGCACGATAGGACAATGATAATGATGATGATGATGATGAATGAATAAATGAAAAATCAAACAGGAATTCACTATTGTGTAGCTGGTCCTTTACAGCATTTAGTGCTCATCACGGTACATGGCAAATCTACACAGTCCGTGTCACCACACCCAATCCCTCCCCGCCTTTGAAAAAAAAAGTGCTCAATGTGTCTTTGATAACCCGTGTTTGCCGTCATCCAGGTCTACTCCCGCCTTATCTTCTAGGAGCTATACAGCCATTCAAACCGTTATCACGCCTGTATGGGTTCTATAACCTGATTTTCCAGGGGTGAGTGAGAATAGACCCACTACTCACGTTACGAACACTAATTAAGGATTTGCTGACATCAGACGTGTTGGACCGCACTGCACAGATATCGCAGCCTAGCTGTAAACTACAAGACATTGTATCAGCACCTCTTTTAAGATCAGTCGCAGAGCAGCAGAAGATAAAAATATGACGCTATGTCTGAAGTGCAAATAAAAAGCACAGATGAGGAGGAACAGGCAAACAAAAGGAAACACGACCAAACAAATGAAAGAAGCAGACAAAAGGACAGGCAGGTAGAAAGAAAGACGCCCGGCGCGCTTGCTAAGTTGGTTAAACCAGCTGCGCGGCGACCGGGTGACTAACTCCTTGTGGTCCGAGTTCACGCTCGGGAGTGGGCAAGAAAGCCACACATTTACCAGATTTTAGGTATCTATCATGGATTCGGGGTCGACAATATTTTGTATTGCATCAAGCACCATGCAACCCTCAGTTTAGAATATCACTGCTATATACCGGTGTTTTAGTTACTAAAACCTACAGCTGTAATGTGAAAAAAAATTTACCCAGAATAAGACACACCGTAGCAGTATATGTTGCATTAACTCCAGAGAAAGAGATTAGAACAATAGGAATGACAGTAGTTTCAAAGAAAACAATCATTTAAACATACACCCTGTACTTTGGGGACTGATCATGCATGGATCTTATATTTGTCATCTCACAGGGGAGCACTAGTTCTCTCTTTCTCTCTCTCACACACACACACATACACACACTCTTTCTCTCTCTCTCTCTCTCCCCCCCCCCTCTCTCTCTCCCTCTCTCTCTCTCTCTCAATCTCTTACAGTCTGTCTCTAGCCTTTGTCGTACAAACCAACACATTGTTATTTGTCTATCATAAATGTTTTCACCAACTTGTATCTCTGTCTACCCTTTGCTTGCCCGACACCCATCAACGATTTGCTCAGTTTAGTTTTCATAAAATCATTATGTTTATTATGGTAGTAGAAAAGAACATTCACTGGGGGGGGGGGGGGGGGGGGTGTTGCCTAATTAGATAGCAGCTGTTTTGTATACTCGCCAGGTTGCTCTTGGCCTGTGTTTATGGACCTCTGAACCATGTATTAAAGCTCCAGGACTACCGCATGGATCTGTTATTTCACCTGCACTGTTCAATGTTTTTACGAGCACGATTGCCTATTTGGAAAAACCTGGAGTTGGCAGAATATTGACAATTGCAGAGGATGTTCTCGTAAATAGGAAGGGGAGAGATCGGAATCAAACAGCTGAAGAGTTACAGGCAACAGTAAATAAGGTGACCGAATGGTGTATAAAGATGAGTGCATTAAGAGAGAATAGACTGCGGTACATGGGAATCACATTTGACAGAAGTTTGTCTTTCAAGAATCAGATAGAGGGGGTTGTCACAAGGGCTCAAAAAGGTCTAAATGCAGTAAAGATTATGGCAGCGATTGGCATGGCGCAGAGAATGCTGTCCACACTGTACCAGTATTTAATAATCTCAGTGATTCATTATGGATTGGTGTTACTCACTGTCTCGAAGAGTCAGCTAGAGAAACTGGAGGGCATACAGAATGAAGCTATGTGGCTGATCCTGGGATGCACAAGAGACAGCCCGATTGTGTGCATGCGATGCATCCTTGCATTGCCGACTATTGTAGATAGGCTTAAGGTGCTGCAGGCAAGGTCATACTTCAGAATAGCTGCAGACAACGAACACCCTCTGTATGAAGCTTTGGCTGCACGTAAGGGTCAAAGGCTGAAAAGGGGAAAATCATGGATGGCTCAAGCAGAAGACACAAAAAGACACGTATGCATGCTGAAGAACATTGGGTGAGGATAGAAGTGGGTCAGAGTACCAACGGAAAAATCTAACCTGTGTAGGGTTATGATCACATTGGGCAGGGTGTGCAGAGATTGGCCAGCGGGTGCTACGGTGGAAGTCCAATAGTTGTTTCACGACAATTCACATCAGGTGATCTAATTATCTATACAGATGGTTCGGCGTTGGGAGGAAAGAGAAGTGCCTGGGTGTTCAAAGAGAAAGCCAATGGAAAATCTTAAGTACAAGACAGCTTGGCATACGACATCACAAAATCTAGCACGAGAATGGAGGTGGAGGTGGTAACTGCAGCTCTCTGGTGGCTAGAGATCAAGATGAAAATTATAACATAATTCGTAATTGTAACAGACCATGAAAGCATGCTGAGAAAGTTGAAGACAGGGATGCCTCGAGCAGAGTGGTAAGCTTTACTGGAAAGGTCACGGGTAGTGAGCATACTTTAGATCTTTTCTCCATGTCATGCTGGCGTGGTGAGTAATGAACAGGCAGACAGATTGGCTGAATCTGCACCACTGGGTGGTAAATTGTTACATGACAAGGCAGTTGTGGTTAAGGCCCTTTGGGAACAAGCAACGGAATCCGGAGAAATAGAAGATTATTATGGCTTGGAGAGAATGAGCCATCTGCGTGTAACCAGAGGGTCCGGCCGGCTCACTACACTCAGAGGAAAGGCAAGATATAGCCAGACTGTGACCGGTACCATCAGTGTTGGAACTTTGCACTGGCTGCTGAAGATTAGGGCGGAGAATACATGGGAATGCCCCGATTGCTGTGATGTCAATTCTTGACTCAACTCAACTCAGCTCAACAACCACTGTATTTTATGGTTTTGGTTTCCGTGAAAATTGGAGTCTTCTGTAGATATTTGCTCCTTACAGACAAGTAACAGAGGTAACCCGTTAATGTTATCCTGCTTCCTTCTCCCTCCATACAGACAAGTGGTAGACAGGGAAAACCGCTTGGACTCGTTCAATAGGGATTTCTTTGAGCACTATCAAGCAGAGATCGCCGGGTTTCATTTGGACAGGCACGTATACACAGAGATACACATACACACATGCACGTACAAGCTTGTATGCATATACTAAAGCACTAAATAAGTAAAAAAAAAATATAAAAAAACACTTCCATACAGCACACAGTATGTATGTATGTATGTGTGTGTGTGTGTGTGTGTGTGTGTGTGTGTGTGTGTGTGTGTGTGTGTGTGTGTGTTTGTATGTATGTATGTATGTATGTATGTATGTATGTATGTATGTATGTATGTATGTATGTATGTATGTATGTATGTATGTATGTATGTATGTATGTATGTATGTATGTATGTATGTATATGTATGTATGTATGTATGTATGTATGTATGTATGTATGTATGTATGTATGTATGTATGTATGTATGTATGTATGTATGTATGTATGTATGTATGTATGTATGTATGTATGTATGTATGTATGTATGTATGTATGTATGTATGTATGTATGTATGTATGTATGTATGTATGTATGTATGTATGTATGTATGTATGTATGTATGTATGTATGTATGTATGTATGTATGTATGTATGTATGTATGTATGTATGTATGTATGTATGTATGTATGTATGTATGTATGTATGTATGTATGTATGTATGTATGTATGTATGTATGTATGTATGTATGTATGTATGTATGTATGTATGTATGTATGTATGTATGTATGTAGTATGTAGTATGTATGTATGTATGTATGTATGTATGTATGTATGTATGTATGTATGTATGTATGTATGTATGTATGTATGTATGTATGTATGTATGTATGTATGTATGTATGTATGTATGTATGTATGTATGTATGTATGTATGTATGTATGTATGTATGTATGTATGGTATGTATGTATGTATGTATGTATGTATGTATGTATGTATGTATGTATGTATGTATGTATGTATGTATGTATGTATGTATGTATGTATGTATGTATGTATGTATGTATGTATGTATGTATGTATGTATGTATGTATGTATGTATGTATGTATGTATGTATGTATGTATGTATGTATGTATGTATGTATGTATGTATGTATGTATGTATGTATGTATGTATGTATGTATGTAATGTATGTATGTATGTATGTATGTATGTATGTATGTATGTATGTATGTGATGTATGTATGGTATGTATGTATGTATGTATGTATGTATGTATGTATGTATGTATGTATGTATGTATGTATGTATGTATGTATGTATGTATGTATGTATGTATGTATGTATGTATGTATGTATGTATGTATGTATGTATGTATGTATGTATGTATGTATGTATGTATGTATGTATGTATGTATGTATGTATGTATGTATGTATGTATGTATGTATGTATGTATGTATGTATGTATGTATGTATGTATGTATGTATGTATGTATGTATGTATGTATGTATGTATGTATGTATGTATGTATGTATGTATGTATGTATGTATGTATGTATGTATGTATGTATGTATGTATGTATGTATGTATGTATGTATGTATGTATGTATGTATGTATGTATGTATGTATGTATGTATGTATGTATGTATGTATGTATGTATGTAATGTATGTATGTATGTATGTATGTATGTATGTTTTGTATGCGTGCGTGCGTGCGTGCGTGCGTGCGTGCGTGCGCGCGCGTGTGTGTGTGTGTGTATGTATGTGTGTGTGTGTGTATCTATGTGTGTGTATGTATGTATGCATGCATGCATGTATGGATGGATGGATGTGTGTGGGTGTGTGTATGTGTGTATGGCGATGTTAAAACTGTACCCCTATTTTTTCTGAAGGGTGCTAGGATTTCACAGAGCTGTACCAACAACTGGCCGAGTCGTTAACATGACAAGGATCTTATCCAGCTGGGCCTCAGACAGACGTTTTCTTTCAGGATGTTTACAGATCACACAGTAAGTGAAATATTTTATTTGTTTCTTTGGGGCGGGAATCTATGGTTATATACATTTTTTCCTATCGAGGAAAAAGAACGATGAGAAGAAGATGCCGAAGAAGAAGAAGCCGAAGAAGAAGAAGAAAGAGAAGAAGAAGAAGAAGAAGAAGAAGAAGAAGAAGAAGAAGAAGAAGAAGAAGAAGAAGAAGAAGAAGAAGAAGAAGAAGAAGAAGAAGAAGAAGAAGAAGAAGAAGAAGAAGAAGAAGAAGAATGAGAAGGAATAGGATGAAGAGGAGGAGAAAGGGGAAGGAGAAGAAAGTAAAGGAAGAGGAGAAATGTATCTGCAGCATGTAGCATGCATCTATGTTTATTTTTTTTTAAAAATAATAATAGTCATCTGTGTTCACAGCTGGTAACTTGTGTTTCATTCTACACTGCTATCAGTACTGTGAGATTGACTATCCATTATGTGGGCACGGAGATTTACTTCCCGGAGCTGTGTCTGCAGGACTTCCTCCTTGGCAAATCCACTACAGAGTTGTCAAAATCCACCCATACAAGGAGGCATACAAAGTTACAGACAAGGTATTATTATTTTTATTATTAGCATTTCTCATTAGTATATAGTATTAAATTTAAGAAAATAATATATCAAGAACAGGTTGTAACAGAAGAAGTGCTAAACTATACAAAGAGACAACACATCATATGGTCTTGACATGTGTCAAGACACCACAAGATAGTGCACCACACAAGAGCCCTGTCACGTAAACCAACGTAAGCAGATCTAAAAGATGGATAAATGGAATATCTGAAACTTTGAATACCAGCATTTATGTAGCACACACCAAATCTCGCATGCGATGCCTCTCAAAAACATAACAACGAAAGACGTAATGTTGCCTAGAGACATGAGGACGTCGAATAAGAGGACAATATTTTCAAAAAATTATGCAGTTTCTTATGTATCGTTAGTCTCGTAAAATACAAGGATTGGTCGTAAGGGTTTCTCATCGAGTTACTCCATTTTTATCAGAAATATGCAAATTTGCATAGTTCTCAACGCCAGCTCATGGAATTTAAACTTAATTCAAAAAGCCGATGCCGTAAAGTTTCAATAATCGTGTATATCTTCAGCTCCTGTCTAGTGTCATGTAAACGGTTTCTGATCCATGTTTTCTACCACAATATGGTTCCAAACTGTCAGTATTTGCACTCTCTCTCTCTATCTCTCTCTCTCTCTCTCTCTCTCTCTCTCTCTCTCTCTCTCTCTCTCTCTCTCTTTCTCTGCCTCTCCTTTTTCCAACTCTACCGTTTTCAGTTTCCCTCTTCTCTTTCTGTGGACGTACGCTTACACTCAAGCCACAATTTATTGGATTTTTACAAATTAGTAAGTAGGGCGGTATCCCTCTTTTCTCCCCCTCCCCCCACTATCTGTGTGTAGTATATCGGGTATCTAGCCATCTCTGACAAGGGCCAAATTACCATATGACTAGCATTATCTGCCCAACACTGGCCAACACAACACTACCCAAGTCGAACATCGAACGGAATGGGTCGAAACGCCGATTCCCATAGATAATATATATTACCGTTGGTTCATCAGACAGGTGTTAAAGGCTTTGGCATTTGACAGAGAGACACTGGCAGACATTTATCGGACACTTTGGCTTTATATGGATGAAAAGTTCCTTTCCACTAGGAGCTCGGACTAGTCTACGAAGGTCTAATCACCACGACGTTCCGTTATGTCCAAAGCCAGCTCAAAGCCCTTTCAGCTGCTTCGCCCAGTGTTTAAGTGACCGTTTACACTCAATTACTTTTAGGCCCAGCTGCTTTAGCACATTGTACGTAGAAGTGGAGATAAGTTCTCTTGCGCTTACCTCGACGGCGAAGATTTTAACTGTGCTCGTTTCGTCTCTCCTCAGACCTGCAACGAGTTCACCGTACTTTTCAAGCTTGTATATGTAATTTTCTTCAATCCGCGACTCGTACGGCACAGTCAGCTCTATCGGGATAAGCTTGCTTTTTTCTGCAGAGTGCTGAACCATGTCTGGTCTCAGGCCGGTGTTTAGGATTTACTTTGGGTACTTTCCAAAACCAAGCAGGTCGACAGCCAGTAACCAGTCCCTCGCACAGTCAAGTGTTGATGGAGCGTATGCGACCTTGTTGACTTTACCTTTAGAAATCTGCCCAGCCTTGAGAAAGCGCATGGGGGGGGGGGGGTAGGATTGGCTGTCGCGTTGGTCCCCTCATCCTGGATTGGTCCGCAATGTCTGCTAACGCTTTCAGACTTTATTATGGCGCCATGTATATCGTCCCTGGCCTATGAATTTTTGCACGCGGTCAGTACGTGCTCGAGCGTCTGCTTAGCTCTGCATAGAGGACATGCGGGGTCGGTGGTCGCAGACCACTTAGCAAGATTGGCGCCAGAGGGTAACACAGCATAATCAGATCTTATAAACAAAGCTCAGCCGCAGTGGGGCCATTCGCCAGATCTCCCCTTATGTGAGTATTTGTGACAAGGCGCTTTCAAGGCCGATCCACTGGTCTTGCTGCGACTGTTGGAACCGAGTCTCGTTTTCTCGACCTAATTATAGTAGCCTACATGTCTTTCATGAATCTACAGCTAGGATCATTGCGATTTATGGCAGACGGCGGGGACAAACAATGAAATACTTATGTGTATTAAAACTGATTCTCTACAAACCAAACCATAATAATAATAAAGTAACGTAAAGGTCCCTTTTCATATTTTTTGTACATCAGATAAATAATAAAGTAAGGGGCCCTTTTCCACGCCTTCATGTGTAATGGGCAAACAAGACTAGACCTATATTTTATAGGCTAATCGGCACTTAGTGAGTTATACGGTCAGCATCACCCCGGTCGCCTTTATTTCCCAAGACTCCGCCTGGTACCCACTCAAAGCTGCTCAACATGGGAGCCATGGTCATTTAAAAAAAAAAAAAAATACCGCCAGACCTCCCGACCCTTATGCGAGCGTCTAGCCACTACTCTACGGTGGCTCCCTTAAGCATATTGTGGTAAACTCATTTTTTTAAAAAGATCAATTGGCATTTGGCTGTTGATCTGCTCAGCGTCCCGCCGACTATTTTATCTTTCAGAAAATTACTTGTACCCTGTTTATTAAGCTGGGTCCACCTGAGAGCCAACGTCAATGTTGCACACACACACACACACATACACACACACACACGCACGCACAAAAGGAATCTGCCTTGATGTAGATTGCAGCACTGTGTCTTCGGGTCGGCGTTTATACCATATTACACACAACATTATTCAATGAATGTTAATTAATAGGTAGAAATTATGCATGGTCGGTTTGTGTATTACAGGCCAGATGGCAAACGGATGAAAGCTACTGCGAAAACTTCGTGAAGCCCAAAATGTCCCTGCATATCCTTTTGGAGCTCATGGACTTGGCCGCCTTTGACTTTCTAGCAGGTTCTGTGGCTGTTTGACTGGTTGCTTAGTTGGTTTGTTTCCTGGTTGACTGGTTTGGTTGATGGATTGAATAATTGATTGATTTCTTTGGTTGGTTAGTTTGGTTACCTGGTTGGTTGCATTGTAGTTTGGCGGGCTTTGTGGATGATAAATTTGGTATTTAATTAGTTAGATGGCTGTCTGGTTGGTTCATAACAGGCGGAATGAAATCAACACCTATATCTGTGATGGAGAAGATGGCGATGACTCAAACACTGACAGAACGAAGAGACACTAAGATACTAATACAAGCAGAAAAGTTTCTTAGCATGCCTGAACATCCTATGAAAGAAAGATTCCAAAATCTAGCAAGGGGGCGACTAAAAAGAAGCAGTTTCATCCACTAGGCCAAACGACTCTACAGGCAAACCAGTGATCTGCTTGCAGTAAATAGCCCCTTAAATGCTATTCCAGATTAGACCCCTTGGAAAGAGGATTATAAGTTGCCAATACACATCCAGACAGGAGTAAAAGGAGTATTCGACAAAGAAGAACAAAACAGTGTACAACGTAAAACAGCCACCCTAGCTCTACTTGATGACGAATATATACGTTATCTTTGGGTTCGTGTCTATACGGATGGGTCAGCACAAAACGCAAGCAGAAATGGAGGAGCAGGAGTGTATATTGAGCATCCAAATAATAACAGATATACAGCCAAAATACCTACAGGAAAACACTGTCATAACTATGATGCAGAAGTTCAAGCCGTCAAAATAGCAGCAGAAAAACTGTTAACTATACGCCATATTTCACAATTTGTGGTATTTCTGACAGATGCAAGAGCGGTGCGTCAGGCACTCCAATCTGGAAAACTGCCTGGTATACGAACACTACTCTCCAAACTAGGCAGCCAGTGTAAGGTAACTATGCAATGGATACCATCCTACTGTGTAGTTCCTGGAAATGAAAGAGTTGATAAACTAGCTAAGGGAGGTGCAAATGAAGAACAACCTGACGTACCAGTCTCTTATCAACAACAACAACAACAACAACAACAGCAACAACAACATCAACAACAAGAACAACAACAACAAAGAGAGAATAATCAAATCAATCAGAAAGCCACCAAAAACCGGCACAAGACTATTACCACTTTATGGACAGACCAGAGCAAGTTATTATTCTACGCCTTAGAACAGGACACAGTCGACTTCGCAGCCACATGTACACACAATTTAAAATCAGCGAATCAGCCATGTGGACTGGCACCTGAGACAACAGATCATGTCCTCCAAGCCTGTCCCAAATACAACATATCAAGGCAAAACTTTTGGCCAAGAGAAGCCTCGGTGCAAGTCAAACTTTACGGGTCGCTAAGTAAATTACAAATCAACAATGAAGTTTATACTAGAGACAACATTGCAGATATAGATAATCTGTTTCAAGCGAACGAAAGAAAAAGAGGAAAGCAGGTGAAGATAACTGTTGTTGTTGTTGTTGTTGTTGTTGTTGTTGTTGTTGTGTGTGGAGATAAACGAAATTATGATACGCGCTGGCAAAGCAGCAGTAGTCTTCAAAAACCACTTCAAAATATGAAGCTCCAAGTTACACCGCCAAACTAGGAATCTTGAAATCTAACAGTTGAGTTTGATTGAGTTGAGTCAAGAACTGACATCATAGCACTCGAAGCATTCCCATGCATGCTCCGTCCTCTACTTCAGCAGCCAGCACAAAGTTCCAATACCGATGGTACCGGTCACAATCTGGTTATATGTCCGTTTTGCCTTTTCTCTGAGTGTAGTGAGCAGGCCAGACTCTCTGGTTACACCCAGATGCCTCATTCTCTCCTGACCATAATAATCTTCTATCTCTACTGATTCCGTTGCTTGTTCCCAAAGGACCTTGACTACATCTGCCCTGTCATGTATCAATTCACCACCCAGTCTGTCTGCCTGTTCGTTACCCACCACACTGACATAGCCTGGAGAAAAGTAAAATACTTTGTTCCAAAGTATGCTCACTACCTTAACATTATTTCAGTTCTAACATATCCTAGCGAAACTTGGAGAACCACCAAAGATATGGAAGGGAAGTTAGATGCATTTGAAAATAAAATATAAGAAAAACCATGAACATAAAATGGGATGAATACAAAAAGAGTGAGGCGATCAGAGAAATGTTTGGACAAAGATCATGTATCGACTGCAATAACATAAAGAAGGCGGAGATATACTTGGCACACTTTGAGACGAAATGAGCAAAGAATCACAAAACAGGTACTGAAAGGGAAACAAACGGTCTGAGAAAAAGAGGATATCTAAGAAAAAAACATTACAAGAACGTTATTACAAGAGGCAAAAAATGCTGGACTGAACTCCATGTCAGAAATTAAGAAAGTTGCATGCAATAGAGCTAAGTAGAAGAATCGAATGCGAGCACTATGTGACGTCTAACAAATGATGATGATGACGATAATAATGATAAAATATTATCTGACAAACAGGTAACCTAGATAGGCATGCATACCAGCGTTTCACAGATTTGGGAGAAGAATCTTTTGTGATTCTCTTTGACAGTGGACGAGCGTAAGTATGATAGTTTAATTCTAGAAATTTCCAGTAAATCGGATACAACAGCAACAACACAAAATGTGTACTGGTGAAATGTGTAACAATTTTCATAGGGGCTATATATTTTAAAAAGTCTTCATTACTGGTAAACAAAGAATCTCCATTCCTATTATACACAGACTGGGAAAGAAACGCGGTGAAAAAATGAGCACAGATCAACCGCTTTTAAAGCAAAACAGCAGAGCGTTTGGCACATATATTTTTTTCTATAAGTTCCAATCAACACATGTTTAATTTTCATGGTACGTTTCTCAAGCATTTCCCAGCTATTTTTTCTTCTGCATAACACAAATAAAGAAACGGTTTAAACTGTAAAAAAAAAAAAAAAAACGCATAGTTATCCCGATGGCGCGTTTTTATTAGTTTGTAAATAGAATATCGTACTCGGGTATGTGACAAGCAGACTCAGATGTTGTTTACCATGTCCAGTGGACATGTGGGCGTGAATTGCGTTTTTTTTTTTTTTTCGTTACCACGTAGTGGTCAATTGTGTTTAAGACCATATTTGTGAGCATAGCCCACGATGCGTGCACGAGAAAGCAACACAATCTACGGTTAACACTATTCAGTGCCTACACAATTGAAAACATATAAAAGGATAACACAACACCAAAACGGTGAGTTCATTTTCAAGCAGTCACGAATGGCGCCTCTATCGATAAATTTAAGGACTATTGCTTTTGGCCGATTTCAGGCAGGAGAAAGTGAAAATCAGGTTGCCAGGCATCTAAACGTGCATTAGAGTACCAGCAGTCGACTTAGGCACCGGTTCCAAGCCGCTGGTTTAGTTGAAGACCGACATCGCAGTGAACGACCTAGAGTGACAATAGCAGCGGAGAATCGCTTTATTCGGCTTCGTCACCTCAGAGACAGGTTTACAACAGCTTGCTCAACTGCACAGACATTGCTTCCAGGACGTCATGTGTCTGATCAAACTGTTCGGAACAGACTGCATATTTGACTTTGGGCTCGACGACCACACCGAGGACCTTACGCGCCACTACCACCAAAATCGACTTCTTTGGGTCAACCAACAACGTCCCTGGGCATATGACAATCAGTAGAGACGTGTCTGGTTCAGTGACGAATTTTTCGTTTTGCTGCAGCGTCATGATAGACCGCATAGGGTCTACCGTAGACGAAATAAAGGTTTAGCCCTAAATTGTGTTGATGAAGCTCTGCTACGTGGTGGTGGAGTATGAGTTTGGTATGAGGAATTATCAGTTACAACAGAAGGAGTCAATTGGTGCATACTGAAGGAAGCTTGAATGTGCAACGATATGTTGATTATATTCTTCGACCACACGTCCTTCCATTTTGGGATGCCAACCTATATCTTTTTCAACAGGACGTCAGACCCCATTCTGCACAGCTGACCATGCAGTTCCTGGCTGCCAATAACATTCAAACCCTTCTCTGGCCATCCCTGTCTGCAGACATGAGTCCGATTGAGCACCTGTGGGATAAGCTGCAAAGACGTGTTTGTCGACGAAACATTTCTTCAGCCAATGGTCGTGATCTATTCTAGGCACTCCAGGAAGAGTGGGCAGCTATCCCACAAGCCCACATCAGACATCTGATCGCACCCATGCCCAGGAGATGCCAGTCACTGATCCACGCAAGAGGAGGCCACACACCATACTGACGGGAAAGACCTACGCTTGAAAACTATCGTTGAACCAGATGCAAAAATATGTGTAAATTGTTTTCTGGAACCCTAAGGTATTATTGTGTGAAATGTGAGTAATTTCACTTACTGCAATACAAAGATGCAGAATGCCAAATCTGTGAGGACGTTTTCTCCTTTCAGTAACTATGCGTTTCTTGTTTGTTTTTTTTTAACAGTATATTGACCGGCTGATGAAGAAATATTATGTAGGAAATACTGGTATCGATTGCGTTGAAAACTTACACTTGGAGAATTTAGGCTTTTCACGTAATATTTATTATCCTTCTATGTGAAAACAGTGACGACATGCAAAAAACAATTGGTGATTTCACAAATATAGCATCAAAAGTTTGGTTACAAATTAGTAATAAAAAAAAAAAAAAAAACTATCCTGAAGATATTACTAATGAAAATAAAAAAAAATAAAAAAAATAAAAACCCAGAAGCCAGACTAGAGACACTCGCAATTTTAAATGACAGATTAGTTGACCTATTTCGGTACCAAACTGCAAGAAACAGTGAAAGAAATTATGATATGCCTTGGTAAGACATCTGCAATCTTTAAAAACCTCAACAAAATTTGGAACTGTAAATTATAAAGTTTTAAAATGAAATTATATATTTTATACATATTCTATATTATTTATATCAATTACAAATATGCCAGTAAAATGTTGGAGAATCATTAAAAACATGAAACAAAATTCAATGCATTTGAAAGGAAACGTCTAAAGAAATTGATGAACACTAAAAGGTATGAATTCAAGAGAGACGGAGAAATAAGAGAAATTTCTGGATAGTCGCCAGTATCAGCAGTTATTAGACAAAGAAAGAGTGGACATTTTAGACACATCTTGAAAAGAATAAAAAAACACATAATCGCCAAAACAGGACTTAAATGGGAAACAAATGGACTGAGAAAGCGAGGGTATCCAATGTAAACGGCAAGACGAACGTTTATGAGAGGCACCCCCCAAAAATTCTGGACTAGATTCGATATGTGAGTAACTGGACAAAATAGAAATGGAAGGAAGAATAAATTTCGAACCTATGTGACGTATAACTGCACACAAAATGATGGTGACGATTTGTGGGGCGTGCTCTGAACATGATAGTCAACAAAACTGGCCATGTTTTAATAGGATGGTGGTTCAGCATGTATCACTCAAGTAAGCAATGGAGACACACAAGAGAAGCGATACAAATGGAAGGATAACAGAAAGCGATGGTCGAACAAAAGTCTCAGAGAATGTACCACGAAGGTGAAAGACAGAAAAGTAAAAGTCAAGAACCGTTTTTACGCCAGTGGGGAATCTAGTCGGGTATAGAATACTAGCATCATATTTTAAAGACACATCGGCACTCGGAGTGTGGTGGTCAGTATCACCTTTACTTCACGGGACATTACCTGGCATCTATTTTAGGCTGGATCGACCTTGGAGCCAAGGTCAGTTTTGAAAACGAAAAATTAGTCTCGATACGGATTGGAACTTGAGATCCTCGCTACTATACTGCTGCTTACATGGAAGATAGAGCAATCAGGAAATACGTTGAAGACAACCTTGACGGTAGAAACGGCGCTCGGTAGATTTGTTACCTGACTGAATAGTTGACTTATAGATTGATGATATGAAGTGACGTTATAAGTCTCTGTCGTCACTTAATAATTCTAGCCTGTTTTCATTTCCCTACAGGTTTAGCCAGCCGAGCCACGACCACATGTCCGCTTTAGCTCCACTCCGGCAGTGCTGTCGGATACGACTGTCCACTCTGGCCAAATTCATCAAACTCTACAAAGGTCCTGACAGCCTCGGTATGGTCATGAGATCGTCCTTGAACTCTGACCCGCTGTCGCCAATACTAACAGACGTATATTTTGAGGCACTAGACAGAAGAGTCGAGAAAGTGATCAAGACAATCAGTGACTGTCTAGTTAACGCCACGTCTTGGGATGCTGTTGTTTTCGATGATTTGAGCAGTTAACGAGCCCTGGTGTAGAATAGAAATCACAGTAACAGTTTTTCAAAACTAAGTAATTTCAAAACTATGAGTAATCATTAGCGATCACTTTGAAAAACATGCAGGTCAAATACTATAAGAAATAATATAAGAAGGGTATGTTGATAGGTACTACATCTCTTAAAGGTAAATGTTACTCAGCCTCAATAATAATAATAATATAATAATAATAATAATAATAATAATAATAATAATAATAATAATAAACAATAAACAGACCATCATTTTTCTGGTGATACGTCAAAAACAAAACAAACAATTTCAGCTCTGCTGTAATAGACACAGTGGTGAGCACCGGCATTGTTTTTGTCCTATTTAAAAAGACCATAATAATAACAACATCAACAGTTTTCATGTCTCACACCAGGCAGAACAGTGCAGAATTATCAGTTTGCTACTCTTTGAGCCGGTTTACAACAGCTTACAACATCATTGCCCCCCCCCCCTTCCTTCCCTCCCCTTCCCCCCGGGAAGATTAAATGGTTATACGCATGTAATTTATGGCTTGTGTCTGTGAGAGATTGGCTTAGATTTTAGATGGTTGGCAGTAAATCAAGCTGAATTCGTGTTGGGCGAGATATTAAAATAGGAAATAAACTGTGGTCTGTTGTTTTTGACTATTTTATATGTAACTAGATTTAATTGTCCGGCTTCGCCTGAGATAGTGAAAGAATGTCTTATTCTCCCGTTCTGTGCATCACCTTCGTCTCCACCGCTGCCCTATTTGTAGGTTTAGTGGAAATATGGGTCTAAATAAAACCCTATATTTAATATCAGGTCTTTAACGTCATCGATGTCTACACTGCTGCCGTATCTTTAGTCATTGTCCCTAAGTGCACCCCAGGAATTCCCTGTAAAACTTACACCAATGTTTAACATTATGGGAGACAGGCAAATGTATTGTCTCAGACACATCTGGACATGTGCTTTCAGGGAAGATAGCGAAAAAAAAAAAAAAAAATAGGGTTAAATTAAACAGTGTAGTGATAATGGCAAACGAAAACTTGGGAGGAA